GGACAACAAATGGATAACTAAGGAAAACAGGAACAATCAGACCAGGACCATGACAGTCTAATTCGATTTCCCTTTTTTTCCTCAGACGCAACTGTGTCAAGAGTTCTAGTCTGTTCATATGCTTTTTCCATCCTATTTGACTGAGTTCAAGTCGTATAGAAGAAAAGGTCAAATTATTAGTGCCTAGATGTACAAAGCTAAAAGAGTTGTATCCCAATAGGCTACCACTGTTCTGACTGGACCGGATACATACAGATGCATGCAATGCTTTTCAGGTTATTATGCTGTAAAAGAAATATAGACTAATTTAAATTATTTTTCATTCACTTTCTAACTGACAAAAAAAAATGTACTAGTTTGTGCTGGTTTATCACATACTGTACAGTCCTGATAAAGTACTATTGCAGTTTAAAGCAACAAGGAGATAAAAATAATACATATATATATTATTGGGTATAAATGTTTTTTTAAGAGTAATTGAAGCTTCTATTTAATACACAAAATAGTGAATTTCAGCTATTCATGCAGGTAAAGTGAGTTAAAAGATATTTTCAGAGAACTCAAAAACTTGTATTGTGAATGTTGCAGATTAAACAGGTTCCTGACACGTAAAGAGGAATTTACTGACTCTAATATTCTTTACTTTTGTATACCAACAAAAAGCCTTATCCTAACCTGCATGTAACTGCAATCCAATGATATCAATTTCGGATATTGTAGATCATGTAGGTTGAATTCCAGTGTCATTCTGAAAAAGCTTCATTGCTTTTTCCTCCCTGTCTTCCTGCTACACATGTATGTAAGGCTGTAAGGCTGAAGTTCTAATATACATGCATTAGTGTGTGTGTTATTTGCTTTTGTGTTTACCTTGGGGGGTGCTCGGAAAGTGTTCAGATTTACTCTAACCTTTTGTTAGATTCACCCAACAGCATAACCATGAGTGTACAGTGGGTATGGATATTTAATAGGTGAAAAGTTTTTATTTTTATTAAATCAGTTGAGCCAAAACTATAACAAACACTGTATGTCAATGTAAAAAAAAAATCACTGATGTAAGTACAAATATTTCAGGAAGATAGTATAAGCTTCGGGAGTTTTACCCACACAAAGTGATAAAAGTGCACCCTAAGAAATTAGAATTTCATGGAAGCTAATTTATCTAAAGAACTTTATTATACTACTCAGGGACTAATATCTGCTTATTGTAAATATAAAGAATAATCAAAGCATTATGTAAGTTCAACACAACAATGATTTTTAACACCATTAATTTTTAATAACCATTTTATGCCTGACATAATCGTTGGAAAACTGCTGATTAAGCAGATTCTTTATGGCAGCATCATCTATAAAGAAACTAAGAAACAAATGGTTATTAGGAAATAAGGATGATGTAGCAAGTTAATGAAAAATTATATACAAAGTCACTGGGAATGATAAAAAGCAGCAGAAATTATGAATCAGCTTTTACAATGGCTCCTTTCAAAACTTTGGGTGAAAAGTTATGGATGATGTGTTACAAATAAATATATGCATTTGTAGTAAATTTATGATTTATAATTGAAGAGAAACTGAGATGCCAACAATGTTAATGTGCTAAATGCTATTATTAAAGAAAATGTGCTTTAAAATGAACTTCAGAAGAAACAAACTTTTATGCCAGTTTAGGCACTGATGCAGTAACGGATGCAGACAAAGTTTCCAGGACACACTCTGTATAGAGTATGGACATACCCCATTGGAGCTCCCATTTCTGTAACCTCTCTTTTTGCTTTCATAAAATATTATTGTTTTCTGATTAAATAAATTCTGTTTTCTGTAGGGGTACCGCATATTGATTAAAGTAAAGAAAAAAAACTATTGCAAGATACTTGAAAGATATGAATGCTTACAATAAATTGATATGAGTTTCAGTTTAGTGGGATTACAATAAACTATTTGACCATTATCTTTAATATAGACACAAACACAATGTCACCTAACAAGAAAATAAAGATGGTTTACAGCACACAACGCAGATAAATTGGCACCACTAAGAATTTGTATGATGTGGTCTTTGCAAACATTAAAAATTCACTATAAGCAGTTGGCTGCTGGGATGTAAAAAGGAAATGATAAGCTAGACCTAAATAGGTGTTTTTTATTCAAGCAGTGTTTTTAAAAGGCATCAAAAGAATCAAGTTAACTGGAGAACCTGTGTGGTGGTTATTGGGAAGGATTTTGCAGTGGCAGCCCTTGTGGCCCTCAGTGGACTCTCTTGGCAGATATGATGATGCAAACTCCAAAACCTCAGTGTGCTGTGATTACCAGATGGTTGTGGCAGCAATCTTTAGTCCTTTCATTCACCTGGCTGAGTAAAGACTTCCTCCTACAACACATCCACAGGAAATGGCCTCTAAAGCATGCCTGCCTTCTCAGCTGATGCCAAAACCTGTATTTCTGTCATGCACTCATACCTCTGAAGTCTGTTTCTGAAAACAAAGGGGAAAAAAAGGGACACTGATTTGGGTCACTGAAGGTTTAAAGGGATTGCTCAAAACAAGATAGTGGGATAGAGATTTCATGTCTCTATGCAAACAGACGCCAGGTTGTCATGCTTATTTGTGAAACGTTGTGGAACGAATCAGGTTGTTTTTAAAGCATTTATTTGTCCCTGTCTCGGTCCCAGTCACAATTTATTTCAGATAAACTTTCTTTTTGAAAAGGTTTATCATTGTTATGCTATTTAAAAAGTGCATCTCCCTTTAGAGGATTATTCAAATTCAGGCTTTTGATATTCCCCCTGTTTTCTGGACTAAAATTTTAACAAGCCAGCCCCAGGCTATAGCACAAAACTTGTGGCTTCGTCTCAGCCAATGCATAAATGAATATTATTTATCCATTTGAGTGGATTATTGATTTATGCTAATATGTGGAAACTAGAGATACAGTATGAAGGTTTGTTTTATTTATTTGTTTTGCTTTGGGGGATATTTAACCCTTGAAACTCTGGCATGAACCTCACGGACATTCCAAACAGTGTAACACCCGCTGTTTATTTAGTTTTCGCCTGTGCCCCTCTCACAAGTTTTGTTTTTTTCTGCTTCGTTCCACTCATCTCCTTCTTGACAAAACGTTACAGGAAATCAATAGAAGACCAAGCAAAATCAATAGAATCAGAACAACAGTTTGCTCCTTTTTTATCTATCTGATGCATTTGATTGCATGAATCACATTAATCTTATCTAAGCATGTTTACTAATGCTGCACTCAAACCTATTGATAATAGATGCTAATGAAGGGCCATGCATTTCCTTAACTTCTTATCTAAAACATCTTGTTTGATAAGGTTTCCAAACTTCTTATGTGACAATACTGATGTAAACAACAGAGAGGCACAAAGCATTACTTATGTTAACCATGTTGTTATCTCTTTTCCTGTCACCTTCCAGTCCCTCCTGTCATCAGAGTTTACCCAGAGAGCCAAGCCCGGGAGCCAGGAGTCACTGCCAGCCTGCGGTGTCACGCCGAGGGTATCCCCAGTCCACAACTCTCTTGGCTCAAGAATGGCATGGACATAAAGACCAAGCTGTCCAAACAGCTTACTCTGCAAGGTAAACACAAGCCCTAATTTTTAAAATCTACTCTGAGTATATTTTAGTTTTGTTTGCCATATCCACTGCAGACGGTGTTGAGTTAAAATATAAAAATGTGATCAGTGGTAGAGGGGTCCATCACTAGAATAGATATAACCCGCCTGTACATATAAAAGGTTTACGCATATGTAGGGCTGCAACTAACGATTATTTTGTAAATCGATTAATCTGCCAATTATTTTTCCACTAATTGATTAATAAATAATCGGATAGCAAAAGGTTCCTTAAAGAAGATTTTTTTTGCTAAATTAAACCAGAAATCTTAAATCCAAAATATTTTTATATTTTCTTACAATTTTGATATAACTGCTCCAAGTGGGTTGTTACAAATTAGTTGATATGTCAATAATCAATTAATCATTAGTTGCTCCAGCCGTACTCCTGAATGATGAGTTCCTGAATAAAGCATTATAGTCAGAGGTGGGTACAATAATCAAACATTTTCCTAACAGGAGCACTCTATATATTTCTACCTAAGTAGAGAAAAGTAGAGATCCAAAATGATTGTCAAGATAGTGTTAAAAGCTATTTGGAAAAAGATATTGATCATTATATTTTATTTTATTTATGAGACCATGAAACCAGACCGAATAAAATAAAAAGTTAGGTGGGTTTACGATCAGGACTAAGTCCTTACTTCCTGAGGAACATGTTAGTCTCAAGTTTTAGGATCCGATCTATAGTCCAGACTAAGAAGCCCCATGTCAAGTTCAAGTCTTATGTATCAAGGCATTAATAAGTGATATTGAGCTATCCCTTGAGCACCAAATAGATTAAATGAAAATAATATAGGCAGATTATGATTTTTGTATGGCATGTTTTTAACCTTAATGATAGCATTACATCATTTCAAGTTAAGATGCTCTTGTCACAAGTCATTGGTACTGAAGTCAAAGCTGAAGCACAGGTCTTTTTTAAAGTACACATTCAGTGTTAAATAATCCTATCTTTAACTTTATTAAGACTTAGATCAAGTTATCACGCCACATTATGTATATATACAGTATATATATATATATATATATATATAAACTAGTTGCAAAATAGAATGTGAACTCTCTATTCATAGAATTTTTATACTAAAGCAATGTAAATGCCCTCCAGTTTATTTATACACACGGAACCAGTTATATAACACTGTCTCCTGAACAAAGTATGGGGAACTGCTGAATTTACTCAGATTTTTCAAAGAATACATAAAAAAAAGAAAAAGACCCATATTGTACCTCAGTGGGGACACTCTGGTGTACCAGCAATCTGCAAAGTGACAGGTAAATGGAAGCATTCAGATACACCCAAAGGTAAAAGTGTAAAACTAAAAATAAGAACACTCTTTGCAGAAGGCGCAAATTCAAAGCCTGAGAGCAAAATACTGCGCAGTTATCAAAAATAGCATACTCACATTTAAAGGAATGTGCAAATTAGTCAGACGATTTAAGAAAATGTACTAAATGTGCATTTATATTTGTCCCCACAAAAACAGACATGAAAGAAAGCTCACATATGATACATCAACAGCAGGTCTTGTTCTTGTCCTCTTTGTATGTAAATACGGGCCATGTTTTTATAAAATTTAAGTAGAAACAGAATGAATACCCTCACTGATTGAACTTCACATTCATTTTAATTGCACATATTTCTATAATTTAGTTACTCAGTTAAGATCATGCATGTTATGGGCATTGGGCGTCTGTGTTCTAATTCTGTACTGCACCATCTAGTACATTATTTGTCATGTAGTCATGGGGAAAACAGTGGTTGATGTGGTTATAGTGATGTTGAGGAGAAATATATGTCTCACTGAGGAAATTGAATAAGCCAGTCACAGTTGACAGATGGGGTGTACCAAAGCCTCTGTCATGTTATAGGAAAACGTGTCAAATTTGCAGCTCTTTGTAACTCAGTATGGATGAAAACAAAACTTTGTAGACAACATTATTATTTCTATAATGTTTTCCTGTATTCATATTCTAGAACCAAATATAATTTTCTTACTAAGATCTTAGACCTGCTATAGCCTCAATGATGCAGTAATATGTAGTTTTCTTTTGTTTTTGTACTGCCTTTTGTTTAAAATGTGTACAGATTCTACTTGTTGATAACACAAACTTAAATTCAGACTTTTAGAAACATCAGTAAAGGGTTCTCGTTCTGTTCTTCCCAGAGGCATGGATATTAACTTTCTTACTTTGAACTACGGCCTTTTGAATTCTCCCTGAAGCAAAATGATCTGGTTGTTACATAATGGCACCTAAGATGGCAAGATGGGAGTCTACTTTTATGTCTTTCTGGAAAGCAAACACTTTGCCCCTTTTTGTAAGTCCTCTCTGCTCTTCTTCAAAGCTAATGGAAGTGAGGTGCACATCAGCAACGTGCACTTTGAAGACACTGGGGCCTATACCTGCATAGCCAAGAACGAAGCCGGTGTGGACGAGGACATCTCTTCCCTGTTTGTGGAGGACTCGGCTCGCAAAACCTGTATGTATTAATCATGAAGCCAGCTTTAGTTTGTTTTCCTCTTTTATTCATTCAGTATAGTGGAGTGCAAATAAAGCTTCTAAAAGCTTTTTCTTTGCTTCCATCATTTTGTTATTTTTTGATGCACAAACACTGTCTACCAGGTCAGTTTTCTCTGGTTTGTCGTTTCATCTATACATATATTACTTACCTTGAAATAGTTTAGATTCACTTTTTTGCATTTTCATTTTGAATGAATTTAGGCTTCCCCCAGTCAAACGTATTGTGGGGATGTGCTAGGTTTCTGAACAAATGTCTATGCATATAAACAGGAAACATGGAAATGTATGCCTTAAGAAAACAAAAGAGAACCAAGGGCAGAGCTAAGGACCTTACAGGGTTATATCCGGCCAACCTTAGACCACCGCTGGCCACCGATTTGCCTCAGGGAATTTGTTCTTCCTAAAATTTCCACATTTTGGAGCAAGCATTATCCATTTAAAACAGATGGATGCACCAGAGATATTTTGATTGAATCTCCTTTCAATCTCCATCTTAAAATATAATTTATTAACTGACAACAAAAATATATTAATAATTCATTGATATTAATATATTAGCATTAGAATTGATAAACAGATAATCCATGCTCCTTTAGGAACTAGTTTTTGTATGTATTTTTTGTGGGTATATGCAGTAATCTAGTTATAATGTTGCCATGTCCAAAATCAAATGCGTTAAAGAGAACAGTTATTTATCGTGCCATTGGTTTTTGAAATAATTGCTCACTGAATAGACGTGAACTGGATAGTAAAGTATCTTTTAATTATTACTTGAGAATGCACTATTTAAATTTGTGAGTAGTGAATTAAGATATTTATTGTATGAAAGTGAGAATTAATGTAATAGATATGAATTTAATAACTTATTCTGAATGGTTTCTGAGGAGATCTATAATAATGTCTGTAATGTTTGATTAAGTGATTTTTGTTTTGTCTTGTGGACCCCAGGAAGACCAGCTCATCCCACTTTGGTGGCAGCTAATGGGGATCCTTTTAACAATAAACAATCTAGAATAGATAAAGAACCAGTGCTTAACCACTGTAATGTGTATTTGATGCAGAACCAATTAAGAAAGCATAGAGGATTTAATATTTGTATGATTTATTAGCAAGGTTCTCAATGCAAATCTAGACTGTCTACAGTGTTTTATCTTGGAAAGAGGATCAGTTGAAAGTATTTTTCCCAGCGAGGAGGAGAAGTTGTGAGAGACACGCTTGTTAGCATTAGCTCAAAGATTCAGAAAACTAGCTTTGAGGGATTTAAATTGTAATTGGACTGAATTTGGATTTAGTGCTTTCCTAAACATACTGACAACTTAAAGCCCTTTACACTATAGCTACATTCACCCTAACTCACTCACTACTATGCGCACATTTATACAACTCTTTGCAGATCAAAATCCCAACTTCACTTAGGTTCATGCTCTTTTTGGGAGTTCTAGGGCAAAAATCGTTATCTGCGCAAAAATATCCATTATCATCCCACAACAGCCCCTCTGTTTCCCCATGTTTCCATTTTGTCTTTTTGTTTTCTACTTGTAGAGTTAGAATAGTTCATTGGGTTGATCTTATTCTGAGATTTTTGTTCCCATTTGGACTGTTAAATTCAGAATCTTGGTGCAGAGACCTCTACAGTGTCAGGCCAGCCTTCCTTCTTGTGGAATCATTCCTTTGAGCCACTTGGTTTCAGTATCCAAAGATTTTGTGTGCTGTATACTGTGACTGATGTGAGAGTACACATTGACTTTAATTATATGGATTCTTTGCTGCACCCTCACCTCAACTGCACCACCGTCAGTGTGAGCTCAGCCTTGGACAAAGAAACAGTTGCAGCCAATAAATATTATCAAAACTTAATATTTAGGAAGAGATTAAGATGACCTAAAGATATCTAATGACAGACACATTCAGAAATTTAGTACTGGAAGTGTACAGTAGACAAGTACAAACAACTTTAAAAGAAAGCATTTTCTTCATAAACTTAATGCAGACAAACAACAACTGCCATTGTCTCAATGTTCTGGCTGTTAACTACCAGCAGAAATGAAATGGTCACAGGAGCTGTGATTTCTCCCCCTCATATGAGATTTGATTCACACCATACATTACTTGTATGTATTGAAAATTTTCTGAGCATATTTTAACAGAATAATACATTTGACCATTAACTTGACTGCTGCAATGAATGAATCTCAAGCTTCATTCATTGTATTTAAATTATTTAAATTATGACTTTTTAAAAAAAATATATTATTCCGAAACATAGTGGTACCAAAAAGCAATTCTTTATTAGTGTTAAAAATAATTGTGTTTTGTTTTTTCCTTTTTTTTTTTTTTTCGTTACTTTGTCACCATTAAATTTAACACACTGTTTGTGAAACAAGCTACCTTATTTATATCTGGAAGCATTTCTTAGCAAACAATCTCGCCTTGTTCTTTCCTCATGAGAAGAATTGCACACAGTAATTAGCTTTGACCTTCTTAGAAATGTCAGAATTTGTCTTAGAGGCATTCATCCAGTCGTTAGCGTGCTCAATGTTTTCTGTGGGTAATTAGGGCTCTCAGTTGGTACAAGCATTGCAACTTTGCAGTCAGGTCATATATCACGTGTTCACTGTCCCAGACCTGTGTAAAAACCAAATATGTTTAGATGTGATCCCTGTAGAGTAGAGCTTCCTCTGCCCTGCCTGTCAGACATCAGAGGGTCATCCTCGATGAGGTCACATGTTGCCCCATTCGCTTTGAAGCTTTTGAAGATCTACCGAAGGCTAAAATGATGCTCAAAGTTAGATATGGTAGACCCTCTTTTGGAGAGAAAAAACCCCACAAGACAGACTTCAAAGGGATGTCAGCGGATCGACAGTCAGGGTTTGTACAGCTGCTTTAAAAAAGAATAAACATACTTTATTACAGATGTTGTGCTGTGTACGTAATATCTGTCAGCCTAAATACATGACCCTTTCTAGTTTTCCTGTGACATCACCTACCACATTCACAAAAAACTGAAGGGAACTACTGGAAGCTGATCATCAGTTTTGCCAGAATAGCTGTCAAGGTAAGCCTGCAGCAACAGTGGGCTGTCAGTCCTTGCTGCCTGCAGCCCTTTGCTGCAAGGATTCTGCTCATCTGATCCCAGGAAATATCAGTCTTAGCTTAAAAGCTGTTTTGTACTTTACATTTAATCAACAAATGCCACAAAAATAGCATAAAGTTTATTAATGCATCCCTAGATCATAAACCTTTAGTCATTTGAATGCTAATTTAAACACATCAGAAAATGTTAATTATTGCAGCTAATTACTTTACAAGTTAATCATTTTTATTTTCATATGCATTGCTGTTGCCCCTGCATCTCTTAAGCTGGGAGAATTATGCAAAACAACTAATTTGTTTTTAATTTCTATTAACCAGATTAAAATTGAATAATTTTTTGCTCTAAAACATATCAGGAACCATTAAATGCTGGTGTTTGATCTGCAATCATATTTATAGCAGCAGGAAAGTTTGGTTCTTCTCATACAGATTGGGTTGCAAAAAAAAAAAAAAACTGAATCATGTGTATAATTTAACTGGAATAAATCATGTACATAGTCTAATAAATTTTATCTACATATACATGCCAAATTCACACACAAATGTATTTCAAAAAGTACTTGCAAAAATAGCTTATCCGTCTTTCTACATCAAAATATATAGTAAGATTAATCAAATGACATTAGAATATTCTGTTTCAACTACAAGTCTAATTAAAATATTAATGATAAAATCAAATCATATTCAATTACCTTTCATGTGCCAAATACTAAAAGATTTTTTGAGGTAAAGCAGACCAGTGGTTAAATACAGTATGCTAAATGACTTTTAGAAACCCTTTCTCTTGAACAAAGCTTTAGCAACATAAATAACTTTTTTTGAACAGTGACCCAATACAGTGGTTTATGAGGACAGAGCAGACACACGGAAATACATTAAAACAAGGGTGTGAAGTCCTTTAAAAAAAAGCACCGTAAGGGAAGAACTTAATGGCAGTAATCTTTAATGGCTGCATAGAACAGATACTGTTAAAAAGATTAGCTCCCAGCCATTTTTACAATATGGGGGAGGGGATATAGATTAAATATAGTCAGTGGCAGCACTTGCAGTCAACTCAATGATTTGTCCAGGAGAGAAGCAGGGGTAGGGACAGATTAACATGGTGTGGGATGGCAGCAATAAATACTGTAATTTTAAACCAGATCCAAATTGTATCGTTCAAAGCTGATTACTGTAAAGGTTCGGGGTACGAGTGTAGTTTCATAAATGCAAAAGGAAACTACAAAATTATTTTTTCTTAGTTAATGTAACTGCAATAGTCATAGAACATAATGTAAAAAAAATGCACTGCAAATAGATTTAACACCTGAAAGCTCCAAATCCACCCTGAGGTGTTTTTCCATTCCTGTTTTTCCTTTCCTTTCTAGCATTACCCTTTTAGTTAAATTGTTCTGCAGTTTATTTTGACTTTTTTCACTAAAATTGGCTTTGTGAAACAGCTGGTAGCATAATTCTTAAGGCAGTTGGCCTAACTGTGCCAAATCATTTATTTTAGTTTTTTACCCTTACTCTTTATCATAGCTGGGGTTTCTTTGTGCACATCTGTTAGTTATCTTGTGTTGCATTAAGGTTCTGGATATAAAAGAGCTGAGATTTTTACTTATTTCTAGAGGTAAATAATGTCAGTTTCTGATGCCAACTCTCACATACAGTAGCTATACTGTATAATTTGTCTAACTTCTCAAGGGTATGACCAGCTTTAAATTTTAGGACTGCAGCAATAATCTAAACATTTTTTACAGAATTTATATATGATATGCATCAGGAGTGGGTGAACGGTGTATTAAACAGATGTATTAGAATGCTTGCATATGTTTATTGTTCAGCATTAACAGTATAATAAACAACCTTGCTTGCAAGCTGATG